TCCGCCTGGCTTATTTCACTGAGCATAATCCCCTCTAGCTCCATCCATGTTGTTACAAATGGTAGGATTTGTTTTCTTCTTATGGCTGAATAATATTCCATTGTTTATATGTAGCACATCTTCTTTATCCATTCATCTACTGATGGACACATAGGTTGCTTCCATTTCTTGGCTATTGTAAAGAGTGCTGTGATAAACATAGGTGTGCATCTGTCTTTTTCCAACTGGGCTCCTGCCTTCTTAGGGTAGATTCCTAGGAGTGGAATTCCTGGGTCAAATGGTATTTCTATTTTGAGCTTTTTGAGGAACCTCCGTACTGCTTTCCACAATGCATGAACTAGTTTACATTCCCACCAGCAGTGTAGGAGGGTACTCCTTTCTCCACAACCTTGCCATCATTTGTTGTTGTTTGTCTTTTGGATGGTGGAGATCCTTACTGTTGTAAGGTGATATATCATTGTGGTGTTAATTTGCATTTCTCTGATGACTAGCGATGTGGAGCATCTTTTCATGTGTCTGTTGGCCATCTCAATTTCTTCCTTGGAGAACTGTCTGTTCAGCTCCTCTGCCCATTTTTTAATTGGATTATTTGCTTATTGTTTGTTGAGGTGTGTGAGCTCTTTATATATTTTGGATGTCAACCCTTTATTGGATCTGTCATTATGAATATATTCTCCCATACTGTAGGATGCCTTTTTATTCAATTGGTGGTATCCTTTGCTGTACAGAAGCTTTTCAGCTTGATATAGTCCCATTTGTTCATTTTTGTTTTTGTTTCCCTTGCCTGGAGAGATATGTTCATGAAGAAGTCACTCATGTTTATGTCCAAGAGATTTTTGCCTATGTATTTTTCTAAGAGCTTTATGGTTTCATGACTTACATTCAGGTCTTTGATCCATTTTGAATTTACTTTTGTGTATGGGGTTAGACAGTGATCCAGTTTCATTTTCTTACATGTAGCTGTCCAGTTTTGCCAACAGCAGCTGTTAAAAAGGCTGTCATTTCCCCATTGTATGTCCATGGCCATCTTTTCCTTTTAACAGACACTTTCAAGAAATGAAGAAGGAAAATGTTACAGACACACTTGAAGTTTCCTCCAATTTTATTTCCTTCCTTCCCCTTAAATTTGGTGTTAACTTTTATATATGTTTTATACTTTCTCTATATGTGGCAGTTGGCTTTTTACCTTCTCAGCTGGTTTTAAACATGTGGTTTTCTATGGATAAATAGCCAGATATACCATTTTCTATATTTTTCATACTCTCTATATACTTTCTCTCTACAGTGTCCATAATCAATAACTAGTATTATTTTGTATGTTCCAAACCTTATGTAAATGGTATCATACTGGCATTGTACACATCATGTAACTTATTCTTCTAGCAGAAATTATGCTTATGAGATTTACACATGTTGATGAAGCAGTTCTAATTAATTCACTCATTTCACTGCTTTATAGTATTCTATTGAATGAACTGACTCATTTATCCACTCTTCTCTTGCGGGACATTTTCACTGTTTTCTATTTTTAGCTATCATCATCATCATCATTGCTCCTATGAATATTTTCCAATGTATCACTTTACGCATACATACAAGAGTTTCTAGAATATGTGCTCATAGTGGACTTGCTTTGTAATCTTGACTTTCATGAGATTGCTAAACTAAACCAAGCTACACTGACATCAGCAGTAGGTGAGTTTTCTGTTGTTTAACATCTTAATTTTTCCAATTGGATAATTGTGATATGATATCTTGTTGTTTTAATTAGTATTTCCCTGATTTCCAGGAGGTTGAGCATCTTCACTATCTATTAACCATTCAGTTTTCCTTTCCTGGATACTGCCAAGTCATATCTTTGCTCATTATTATATTGTATCATTTGTCTGTTTTATTGATTTGTAGTCATTACATGTCCTGAGTACTAATTTTTTGTCTGAGTTGTAAATGCCTTCCCCGTGTGTGCCTCGCCTTTTCACTTGTGTTTTCTAGTGCACAAAAGCTTTGTTTGTTTGCTTGCTTGCTTGCTTGTTTCTAATGTACTCAGATTTACCTATCTTTTCATTCATGGCTTGAATTTTTTGTGGCTTGTTTAAAAAATCTTTTCTCCAAGTTTATAAAGTTATATAGAAAAACATCTAAAAGTTTTAAAGTTTTGCTCTTTATATTTAAGTCTCTAATTTACCTAGAATTTATTTATTCTATTTTTCTGTATGTTGAGAGATTGAGATCTTTTTTTTTTAGTGTGGTTAACCAATTATTCCAAACACCATTTATTGAACAGTCCGCCTTCTCCCAGTGATCTATCAAATAAGTCCTCCATATGCACAGGCCCTGCCTGTTCTGTTCTCTGCTTGCCTATTCCAGCAACAATATTACATGTTGTTACTAGAGTTTTATAAGATGTCTTAACATCTAGTAAGGCAAACTCTTGAAACCTAGTAGGAGCCCCACCTTATTCTTTAAAAAATATGTTATTCATGAACCATTGATGTTCCACATAAATTTTAGAAAATCCTTGTCAAGTCACACATATGATCTCCATATATGCTAAATATTTATTTTATGTATGTAAATGTACATACACTAAAACATTATTGAGAATTTGACTCAGGTTGCATTAAATGATTTGAGGAGAATTGATAGCCTTACAAAAATAGAGTCCTTTCATCCATGAACATAATGTACCCATCCAGTTGCTTAAATGCTTTCTTAATGTTTTTTAAAAACTTTTATATTCCCTCCATTAAAATGCTGCATATCTTTTTTTTAGATTTATTATAGGTTCCTGATGTTTTTTGTTGCACCTGTAAGTGGTATCTTTTATCAGACTGATGTTTGTCCTTTGTTGGTACTGATAGGAGTAAATTTTTTTTTTTGAGAGGGCATCTCTCATATTTATTGATCAAATGGTTGTTAACTACAATAAAATTCAGTATAGGGGGGTCAATGCTCAATGTACAATCATTAATCCATCTCAAGTCTAATTCTCGTCAGTCTCCAATCTTCTGAAGCATAACGAACAAGTTCTTACATGGTGAACGAATTCTTACGTAGTGAATAAATTCTTACATGGTGAACAGTACAAGGGCATTCATCACAGAAACTTTCGGTTTTGATCGCACATTATGACCTATAAACAATCAGGTCAAATATGAATATTCGTTTGATTTTTGTACTTGATTTATATGTTGATCCCACATTTCTAGTTTTCAGAGTATTATTATTTTTATTTTTAATAAAATGCTTAAGTGGTAGGTAGATGCAAGATAAAGGTAGAAAACATGGTTTAGTGCTGTAAGAGGGCAAATGTAGATGATCAGATGATCAGGTGTGTGCCTATGGACTAAGTATTAATCCAGGCTAGACAAGGGCAGCAAGACATCCACGGATGCAGAAGATTTCTCTGATAGGAGTAAATTTGATCACTACATACTGCATTTATTTCCAGCTGCCTTCTCTTTAAAGTATTAATCATTTGTAAGTTCTCTTGAAATTTTCTTGTAAACACATTTTATATCTTATACTTTCTTGTCTTATTCTGCTAAGACTTGGTAAACTGAATGTTTAATAGAAGAGTTGATAGAAAACTTGTTCTGTTCGTGACTATAAAGAGAACACTTGAACATTTGGGGAAAATTTAAATATTACCAAATATCACAAGTATTGCTTTCTCCCCTGTTTAATGTTTCAGAATGTATGGAGGGTTTGTTTAGAGCACAATAGCCGCTGTAGTCATCTCAAACATCACTCTACATCAAGTATCATTTCCATTTTTCAATATGCCTATTGCTGGGCTCCCCCATACAAAGAAAAAATAAAAAAATTACACATCTTGTTAATTTTTGGCAAAGTTGGCCAATTTCATGAAATCCACAAATGTCACACTAAACAGACTGAACGCATGTACAGTCATAAAGTTCAGCAAGCTGAAGTTGAAGATGCCCAAAAACAAAGAAAAAAAACGAACTCTTAAACTATTTGGCATTTAAGTTCTGAATTGATTCCTTTTGAGGCCATTAAAATGTACTTGTTTGCAAAAACAAAAGGAGTTCTTTGTTAGCATGTGGAGGTGGTTTATTAGTGGCTCTAAGAAATCAGCGTTAGGACTTGAGGTAGAAATAGAGTAGGGAACTTTTAATGCCTTAAGCCAATAAAATTTTTAATCAGTCTTAACACAGTAACTATTCCATTCAAGAAACCCATGGTAGTCATGAGGACCTAGGCTCCCAATAGCACTATTCTGACAGCTATTCTTCATGTTATCAAAGAACTGTCATTTTTTGCCTCCCTACAGCAAGAAGTTAAAAATAGCATGTTCACCCCTCCTACATCCTATTAAAAGATTAGGTTATGATTATAAATAAATTTTAAAATCTGCACCTTAAAACAGGATTTCAAGTGTGCTACATTTTAAAGACACCTCATTACAAAACTTAAAACTCAGAAAATTAAAATAGAAAATTGACTAAATCAGCAAATAAGCTTTCACTTTTTCAGTATAATTTACTACATGATTTTTTAAAATAGACTTCCCTCTTATTCATTGTGTTGAGTCTTTAGAGAAAATAAGTAAGACTAAACATCAGCCACTGACTGCTACCTGAAATATTGGAAAAGAAAATAAAGTTACTCTTACATGGTAGGGACAAGAATTCATCTTACAGAAATTTAACACACAAGCTATTTTTCAGGTTCTCATTCGCTAAATCACAGTTCATAATCTGTGAAGCAGAAGAGCTGCGGAATTCGAGAGAAGCTTCTAAACGCGTTTGGCTCTTGTCTTGTGGGGTTTGCTAGTTCACGTACCAACAGGGAAAAACGGAAGGACACTACCGTGCCCCCCCACCCCGCCCAACTGAACAGAAAGCAGCGGCTCCGAGCCTAGCAGTCGCAGCCGCCTGGGAATCTCGCCGCTTTAAGCCGCGGGGGTGGGGGTGGGGGGGCTCAGCCCTCCCATCCCACAGAAGGCGGGGCGGGCGCGGGGTCTGCTAGGAGTTGTAGTTCTAGACCCTACTGCCTCTAGACTGGTTTCTTCCCGCCCCCACAATTCCCCAGCCGCCTACGGACTCTGAAGTTGCTGTGGACTGAGCACCGAGCATACGGAGACACAGTAGGGAGAAGACCTGGACGCCGCTCAGAAGCTTCTAGAGTTTGGCAACGGCGCGAGCAGCACGCTTGAGCGGGCGGCTGGGCGGCCCCTGCTGCATCCGCACGTCTCAGGACGCGCTGGGGGTACGCGCGTAGTGCGCCACTCAAGTTTGAGGTAATAGGGTTTTGGGGTGGCGTTTGTTAGCGGCAAGTTGGAGGGAGCTGTCCGATAATCAGGGATTCTTCTCGCCCTGGCCCATCTGCCCTTCGGGACTCTCCCACCTCTTACCCCTTACTGATTTGCAGAATTGCCGTCCGCATCCCTCCTCCTCCCTCCCCTGACTTTTCGTGGCAAGTCTTTTCCTTCTGTGTTGTGAAATCCGCTAGAGCTTCTCAGCCAAGGCCTTTTAGGAATTCAGACCGCCCCCTCCCTGCCAAATCCATGTCATGTGAGGCAGCAAAAGGCTTGATGTACAGGCCCCACAAAGCGATGCCATCGTCAGTTCTCTTAAATTTATGATTACCGCGCCCTCCTTTCCTGCAAAGCTGGGACCAGCTAGGCCATACATTACATGTATGGATAGATAGATAGATTAGAAAGATAGATGATAGATTCATAGATACACAGATACATAAATGATAGATATAGATAGACAGATAGATAGATAATGACCTGAGATTCACGAAGGGCTTTCATAGCTTCCTGAGCTTTGGGAGGTGGCAACAGTAAAGGGCAGTGAAAGAGTTCATGAATGTAGTCGGTGACAAAGACCCATGACCACAGTCTGTAGGAGTTCTAAATCTACTTTTTTCCACTACTTCACAGATGTCTCTGAAAGAGCTAAAGGAGATAAGCAGCTAGGCCTGATGCAGCTGGCTTTCTGAATAGTCAGGCCCTGGTTCACCACAGCCACTCTTAAATTAGTGAGCAATTGTCCTCAGTGAGTGAGCCATCCAACAACCACAGAGGATTTTGCCTAGGGAAATGTTTAAGATTGGGCACATACTTTGTGCTGGGCCATAGATAGATATACATCACATCTTAGCTTTTTAAAAGGCGCCTTTCCCCAAAGGGTGAGGTTGGACTGTAAAGCACCCTGTATTTCCCAGAGCACCCTTTGTCATGTGATTTCTTGCTTGACTGCCTTTCTTTAAAGTCTGAAGCATTATTTTGTTCACTCCTATATCTGCAGTGCTAACACACAATGGCCTCTTAGTAGATGTCAAATGATGAAATTCATGAATCCAGTGTCCACTCTTCAGGTCTGTACTCATATTCTACTGGAAGAGGTAGAGATAAAAATAAGATGTAGGTTTATACAAGCCTTGCGGCAGAATAGAAGCAGCGCATAACTTCCTGGAGTGGTCCCTAAAGCCTAAAGGAGCAAGAGTTATGTGCTAAGCTTTGGAATTCTCCCTCCCTGAATTAGCAGGAAGTTATCACACCAAAGCCTCCATATGAGCTTTGCCTGAGAGGTAAAGGGATTGATTGTTTAAGAGCAGACCAGGACTGGAACAGATGCTGTCCTCCTTCAGGTGGTCATATGGAGAAGCTGCACTTTCCAGGGACCCTGGCTTTCTTCAAACATCTTTGGAATGCTCTTTGTGGAAATGCCTTTGAGCTTACAGCATATTCTTTTTTGCCTCCTCAGCCCTGGAACATCTCGTTCCTTCAGAGATTTGATATTTGGGAAAAGCCAGAAGTCTTTTTAGATGCAGGTCTAGACGGTGGGGAAGGCAGTCATACAGCATTATAGTTCCTGTTGAAATTTGAAAGAAGGTATTTGTTTCCATAGGGCTGTGATTCTCACCCTGGAGTGTGTGGAAGTTTTGAGTGTATTTGTATTCCTGAGGGAGCATATCTTCAGCTTTTATCAGATTCCCCAAGGACTCCGCGATTCAGTAAAGATAACCACCACTGCTCTAGAGTTATGAGATCACTTCTTATGTAGATTTTAAGCTGGCTCTGAAGGAGAGTCACTGAAGAGTTTCTGAAGGACAGTAGTAGGGAAGCAGAGGGCAGGTTTCAGCCTCTCCTGTAATTAGATGCATGTTCTCTGTGGTGTCCTAAGTTCCAAAGTCTCAGTGTTTCCACAGACAAAATGGAAGGCAGAACCAGGGGTGGGCGTGAGGGGAAGTCTAGGGTCCTGTCTTGCTCTGTTACTCCATGAAATTACAACAGAGGAACTTCAGAAAAGTTCCTGAACAATAGCATCCCTGGACTCATCAGGTAATGCAACCTTTCTAGGTGACTCTTTCTCAAATGACAGCCATGCTTAGGATGTGTGGTAGTGCTAATGTCCTTGTTCAGAGAAATCAGCCTCTTGATGTCAGAACCAGGGATCTAGTAGCATCAGACCAAACCAGAAGGAGAAGGCAGAAGCTCAAAAATCTGCTGAGAATAGTATAAATGGTCAGGGAAGGGCTCCTCCAGGAGGGGAGGCCTGGAAAAAGAGAAGAGGAAGCTGAGGCATCAGCCCAGATAGACAACATAAGAGGCCAAAACAAGGATTCTGTCCTAAGAGTGAAGATTCTGGTAGATTATTCAATCTCCAGGAGGGCTAACAGGAGTAAACAGAATTCAAGCAAGCCCATTATTTGGCACAGACTGTATCTCAGGGCAGCAGGAGACCCCTTCTAGAAACAGGGTGACTTGCAATGAGGCAAGGAGCCACAACCCTCAGGTTTGGTCCCAAGTCCTGTAGTGAAAGACACTGACTCCAGCTGAGGGGGCAGACTGGAGGCAGAGCAAAGCTGAGGAGCCAGTCACTGGGAATCACTACCAACCACAGGTCTATTCTTCCCTCCCACTCTTCCTCTATCCTTCCTACCCTTCATTCTTCCTAGTCTGAGATGGAAGAGATTTAAAAAAAAATAATAATAATGCTCTCCAACCTTAAGGAATTTGCAGACCTGAGATGGATTTACCACTTAGAAGTAAATGACTAAGTATTTAGTCAGGTGATAGAAAATAAAAATCCTACAAGGGTAAGGAAGGTGAAATGAGTGTGTGTGGTACAAGGGATATTAATAGTTATTCCCTGCTTTTCACATTCTACAACAAGAAGGGAATTTCCATGTCACTCCCCCAAAAAGGAAAAGTATGCAGGAACTCTGAGTTTCTCCCCACCCCAAGAGAAGGGATAACGTACCTGAGTGGTGAACCTGCCCCTGCCTTTTCTCTCTCTATCCTTTTACAGCTAGCTTCTCCACAGGACACTTGCATTCTGGGCTGCCTTGTGGTGAGCCTGGACAAGCAGGCTTTGCCCTACATCGTGAGAAGCTTGCAGCTTTGCAGAATAAGCAAATCAGAGGGGCATTTCAGGAAACTCATTTGGCCACAAGTCAAGCCACACTGTTCAGGTCAGCTTTATGAGTAAATGAAGCTGATATTTTGATCAGTGGTCTGCCTCCTGGTGTTACTACTCAGTTCGTTTCAAGCTCTAAAGTAGAGAACAGGCATATTCTTTTTTGACCTCCCCAACCCCCAATGAAGGACAGAAGACCTTGGTATGAGTCAGTCTGGAAGAAGGAGCTGGGCTCAGGGGTCACTTTGGCATTGAAGCCTCAGGGTCCTTTTTGTCACAGGGCCCTTAAGCAATGTAGCAGTCACTGTTGATCTGGAGGCCTTAAAAACAGGTTTTGTCTCCTAACTTCAAAAATACATTGAATACCCAAGACCCACCCATGGTAAAGAGAAAGAAGTAGATAGAGGACATCCCTGTTATGTTAATTTGTATGAGGGTCAGAGTCAGGCTAGACACCTAGAGGGAACTGAGCTTAGAAACACAAGAAAAGCTGCTTCCATAGATTTTCACTACTCTTCAGTTATATATGTGTGTGAGCTTTCTGCCTTTGGCTCAAGCTGCTTCTCTTTCTGGAATTCCTTTCCTCCGTTATTTATACCTGTCATAATCCAAGAAAAGGGAACATCTTTTCTCCTAACTGAATGCTTTTTTTGGTTTCCTAACAAGTTCCTACGCATCGTTTCAGACTACAGGACACCTGCCCATGGTGATCCTTCCCCTGACATTCCCTCCTTGCCCTCCTGGGCTCAGTTATTCACTGGGTCCTTGAGAAGTCACTGCACCCTCACATTCCATTCTTTCAGCTTCAAGGTTTAAAAGCCCCCCACTATCTGTCTTCACATCTCCAAGACATCTCTATACTCTTGCTTCTTATTTTAGATGTGCAGTACAACCTGCCTCAAACACTCTTTCTCCCACCTCTCAACAACCACGTGGCAGTCTTTCATCCTCTAATACCCCTTCCATTTTGTTTCACTCAGAAACCTTCCTGACCCCAGAATTAACTGTCCTTTCACCCTCCACCTTGTGACTTCATAATTTTTTAACATACCTATCATGGCACCTAACATACTGTATTGAAATTTTTTGTTCACACCCCTATCTCCTGAACTAATCTATGGGTTCTTTTACCTCAAGGGCCATGTTTATTTAATTATTGAGCTCTGAACTTAACAGGCACTCAATAAATGTTGAATAAATGAATGAATAGGTGAATGATAACAGTTTACATATCTGTTCCTCCTACTTTATTATTAAGTCTTTGTGGCTAGGTAATTGACTCATTTATCTCTTATTTTTATTAGCTAGTTTAATGCCTTGCATATAATAGGCACCCAATATATATTTTTTATTGAATGAATAAATAAAGCCTTTTGTAATATCCCCAACCTGATACATCCTTTTCCTTTTTTGAAACCTTGAACACTTTTCCTTGTATTTCTCCTGTGGCATTTTCTTCAGTTTATAATTTTCTCAGTGTCTAATCCCCCAACTCAGTGGTCAGCTCCTTAAGGGCAAGAGGTGAACCTTACTTCCCTCAGTGTCCCCTGCAATGTCTACTGCAGTGCCAGGCATACAGCAGGTGCTTAAAGTGGAGTTTTCTGAGAAAGATAAGAGTACTTGTTCCAGATCCCCTGTTCCAGCAACGAGATGCCCAAGTAAATGAGATACATATACTGAGTCTCCGACCCTACCCCTTTGCCTTCTACATGGTTAATCTTGCCAAATAGGAAGCAAAATTGAAAATACCATATTATTTCATATTTGTGTTAGCTGTAATGCTCTGTACTAATAAATGCCCAGTAAATACAACTTTCAGATTAATAAAGGATATGAAATCCATCCAGAATGAGTGAGCCCAAAGATAAAAAGAACAATTGAAAGATGAAAATCCTATCAGCTGATAAGGAAAAATGGAAAAGCAGGTCTGTGCATTCCCCCTCAGGGAAACAGTGTAAAAAGAATTGGAAAGCATGTTCTTCTCCAAAAAAGACAGACTGCAATATATGTACTTCAAATGTGAAAGTCTCTCTAATTTGGCCATAGGTAAATAGAGAAGAGCAATCCTCAAGATTAGAATCTGTTAACAGTTGTGGTGATTTTTCATATGTTCACTTTCTATGAGAGCATTCCCTCCTCTGCCTTCCTCTATTTTCCTTTCTTTTTTTCTTTCTTTCTTTTAACATATCTTTATTGAGCACTAATGATGTGCTAGGCGCTCATTCTTCTAAGTGCTTTATGTCCATAATTTCCCACAACACTCATGATGTAGGTAGCAGTATCTTCACTTAAAATGTGACAAAACTGGGACTCAGATTCAGCAAGTTGCCTAGGGCCTCACAGCCAGTAAGTCCTAGGATCATTATTTGAACCCAGGTCTCATAACTCTGAAGCTTATATGTTGCTTAATTTCTACATTATAATGCTTCTTTAAACAGTTCAATGGTTTTGCTCACACATGGCTTACAAACAACAGATAAGACAGAAAGTAAAAGTATATTAAGTACAGGGTCAAAAGTTAGCAAAGGATTAACCCTGAAATAGAGAAAGCCATCTATATTGGGGTGCGAGTAAGAGGGTCAGCAATGGCTTCCTGGGGGAGGGGTCACTTGAATTGAGATATAAAGGGTAAGTAGATTTTCCTAGATCAAGCCAGAGGCATCATCTGGACAGACATACCGCAAATGCATGAGCCTGGGAAATGGAAAGCAGGATGGAAATTCCTACACATTCAAGGAACTGTAAGTATTTCTTTGGGTAAACATCTTAGTCATTCTGTTTTCAAGGCTTTTTTCTTGTATAGCTCACAGTGGCTAATTGTCTTTGCTTTTGTCTCAAAGTGCTGAAGTGTAAGGGTGAGTGATTATTGAAATGAATTAGGGTTTTCATGTTGATTTCAGATCCTCAAGGGGACCACTGTACTCTGATGCCCAAACAACATACTGAAGTGGCCAACACCATGTACCCCTCCTGTTCCAGTGAAACCAGATAGCTCTGAAAGTAAACTAGTATCCTTTAGGGACTGAAAAGTACAAAATGTGAAGGCTTGTATTATGCCCTTTAAAAAAGGAATTATCATTTATAATTTATACAGGTTATATTAGGTATAAATCTTTTTATTTTTTTGAGAGGGCATCTCTCATATTTATTGATCATAGTTGTTAACAACAATAAAATTCTGTATAGGGGACTCAATGCATAATCATTAATCAACCCCAAGCCTAATTCTCAACAGTCTCCAATCTTCTGAAGCATAACGAACAAGTTTTTACATGGTGGACAAGTTCTTACATAGTGAATAAGTTCTTACATGGTGAACAGTGCAAGGGCAGTCATCACAGAAACTTTCGGTTTTGATCACGCATCATGAACTATAAACAGTCAGGTCAATTATGATTATTCGTTTGATTTTTATACTTGATTTACATGTGAATCCCACATTTCTCCCTTATTATTATTGTTATTATTATTTTTAATAAAATGCTGAAGTGGTAGGTAGATGCAAGATAAAGGTAGAAAACATAGTTTAATGCTGCAAGAGGGCAAATGTAGATGATCAGGTGTGTGCCTATAGACTAAGTATTAATCCAAGCTAGACAAGGGCAACAAAACATCCACGGATGCAGAAGATTTCTCTCAAAACAGGGGGCATGAGGTTCTAGGCCTCACCTCTGTTGATCCCCAATTTCTCACCTGATGGCCCCCCTGCAACTGTGCCTGTCTTAGGTTGTTCCTCCCTTGAGGAATCTTACCCGTCTCTGGCTAACCAGTCATCTTCCGGGGCCATACAGGGAAATGTAAAGTTGGTAAGTGAGAGAGAAGCCATATTGTTTGCAAAGGTTAGCTTTTTACTTCTTTGCAGATTTATGCCCTGTGGCTTCTATGCCCAGCACTTGTCTCGAGGTATCTTTACCACCTGGAGGAATTATGATACTCGGTAAATTCGATATGAGGCACGAATTCTATTTAAGGGTTGTAATTAGGAAGGAAGAAGAAAAGCTATAGATGTAGCATA